GAGCATAGCTGCAAATGGATTCGAAGAACCTTCATTCCAAAAGTCTTACCAGCTCAATGAAGAACATATCGAAGAAGAACAAGAAGATCATGAGGATGGGGGCAAGTCTTTTGAAGAAACAACACTCTATGCAATATGACAAGTCAAATCAAACGAAACACTCCTTGACACGAGTTTAAAAGGTCTACATGTCCAAGTCAAGTGAAACACTCCTTGACACGAGTTTAAAAGGTCTACATGTCCAAACGAAACACTCCTTGACACGACTTTAAAAGGTCTACATATCCAAATCAAATGAAGCACTCCTTGACACGAGTTTAAAAGGTCTACATGTCCAAATCAAATGAAGTACTCCTTGACACGAGTTTAAAAGGTCTACATGTCCAAATCAAGTGAAGCCCTCCTTGACACGAGTTTAAAATGTCTACAAGTTCAAATCAAATCAAGGCTCCTTGATACGAGCATAAACTATCTATATATCCAAATCAAATCAAGGCTCCTTGATACGAGCATAAACTATCTACATATCCAAATCAAGTCAAGGCTCCTTGATACGAGCATAAACTATCTACATATCCAAATCAAGTCAAGGCTTCTTGATACGAGCATAAACTATCTACATATCCAAATCAAGTCAAGGCTCCTTGATACGAGCGTAAACTATCTACAAATTCAAGTCAAATGCTCCTTCAGTATGAGTTTAAACTGCACATATTTCTCCTTGTCCACATGAGTATAAACTGTGCACGACATCCCTCAGAAGGATATATTTTGAACTACGTTATGACTTGATCCCTCTATAGGGTACGTAGACAACTTAGAATCTCTCTATGTTCAGTCATGATTTCAAAAGATGTATGTGCTTTGCTAGATCAAGCTGCAATTGAAGTTTAGCAATTATCGAGACTCATTCACTCCAAGACGCATTGTCCGTGAACAAGTCTCGAGGGGGCATTTGTAGACACGTAAATTTAATATAATTGAATTCAAAGATTATAATTTATCTTGCAAAATAGTCATGGAGATAATTATCAATAAATTATTGGCCAATAGGATTGTTTCTTCTCTTCCAAGTTATAAGAGATAAATATCAATTTAAAGAGAGCCAATCAAATCGCGTCACGTCATCAAGTAGACTTTAAGTAGAACTCTTATTCTACCACTATAAATAGGGACCCTCCCTACACAATTCAAGACACAACTCAAGAAGAAGAAAAACCGTAGGAGAAAATTCTCTCTACAATATTCAAGTCGTTCTTCAACAAATTCAAGGCGTTCTTCATCAAATCGAGGGCATTCTTCAACAAATCAAGTTCTTCAACAAATCAAGATCGAAGGAAGATTGAAGGGCCAAATCCATCAAGAACTCCAAGATCTTCAAGTCAAAACCCGTCAAAGTTCAGCGTTCGATCCGAGATTCAAGTCGCAAGACCCTCGGAAGACGTTATTCAAATCCAAATCAAATCCGGAGAAGATCAAGTCAACGACCCGACTCCGAAATTCAAAGTCAAACGCATATTATTCTTGAGAGAAGAATCAGAGGATTAAATTAGAGTTTGTAACCCACAATATTTTATTTTAATTCAATAAATTATTTTTGTACAAGTTTTTCTTGTTTGTTTAAATCGCAGATAAGAATTTTGTTGCTACGCTAGCAATTCCCCCATCGCAATGCGCAATGCACGATATTACAAAAAGGTAGAAAAATTAAATATATGATAATTAGATTGTTTTAAATAAATCCACATTGATGTGTGTGTGAGAGAGAGAGAAAGAGAGAGAGAGTATCTCTTTTGTATATATTTTTTTTAGTCTGACGTTGGTCGGTCTCCCCTTTTCCCTAATCACGAGATTTTTTTTTCTTAAATAATGATATCGTTTTCCTTTCAAAATTCGACTATCTCATGTCATGAGATCAGTTTTCGGAGATCCGTATATATCCTTCGTATCTGAGAGATAACGTGTCATTCAACTCGGAATGTTTTAAATACTACTACTACCTTCTGAACGCCTCTCTTAGAATTACCGCCCGTGGTGGGCTATCGAGTTGGGCCTGATTCTTCTAGTAATACAGTTCGTCGTAAAATTTGGCCCATTTGTCAAATTCGCAACCATCAATTAAATAGTTATGGTGGAATATATATTGGTTTAGTGGAAACCATTACAAAGTTTCAGGTGATTCCTTTAGAAAAAAATAGGTCTTCTTCGACATACATTTTACTTTCTTTATGCACTTAATCTAATCGAGTTGTTTGAGATTTATAAATAAAATAACATTAATTTATCTTTAAATAGATTGAGTGTTCCCCCAAAAACCGGAGATTAAATAGCATGGTCCCAATCAAACTAATCTAGACCGGATCTAATTTGAACTTTCGAAGAGATTCCAATTAAATAAATTTATCATATATGTAGATGTCAACTGTTTGACATGACTAGTTGTAAGTTGTAGTATTTATCTACTGAACCTTCAAAATTTCCATGTGCCAAAATACTCTTCTATTTTTCAAATAATTGAACTCAAACACACGATTATCTCGGTAGTTTTCACAAGATGCAGGAATATAAAATATCTTTTCATAAGTCAATTTGTTTTCAAATTGTATTTGTAATAAGAGATGAAATTATATTTAATATAAATCGGATTCCACTAATTTGTTAACATGTGATACTCTTAAATTTTAACTCTTAATAAATCATACTAATTATAATTAGGGTTAGAAGGTTATAGGTTCTGCTGTTTGTTTGTTTGTTTTTTTTTTCAATTATTATAATCCTAATTATATTTTTATTTAAACGATCCACATGTCAATCATTCTATGGTCAAATTCCTTGACTAATCTGCAAAATAATAATTATGCAACATGAAAAATAGGAATAAATAAATTTATTAATCAAACGAAAATAGATTACAATCTACGCGATTTTTTTCTAATTCTTATCTTCTATTCTAAAATTTGTTCAAGGACTTAAATTTTTTTTTAATTAAACAAATATATTTAAACACCTTGAATTCAAATATGTTATGAATTCGCTGTGAAGGCTCGAGACTTGAGCTTAAGAGCTCGATGTGTGTCTATGTGAGTCTGTCTTTCATGCGCATATGACATTTTTATAGGCACGAGCTAAGGTTTCATGATTTGCAACATGAACCGGACATTTTAAAGCTCAAATATGTTATGAACTTTAAGTTGAGACCGCCTAAATTAATAACTGATTTAGTTTGGTTATTAATTAGTAATTTATCTCAAATATTCGATGCCTACAATATTCACATTATAATAAAATTACATTACACTAATTGTTTTCTATGTTCTCCTATACACAAAAATAAAATTAAAATGATAATCTTTTTAGAATATTGAATGTAAATATATTAGTCTAAGAGCAACTCCAACGCTAAACAATAAAATTGAATTAACAAATATTCATTTGATATTTAAGATAATATTTTTTATTGATTATCAATCTATTTCAATCATGGTTATCAAATTAATTATCAGTTGGAAATTTATGGGTGATTTTATTTGTAATTGTTATATGTCAACTTATGATTGGATATTTTGATGGTTACACTTTTTTTGATAACTCAATTTCTAGCAATTATATTTACATCCCAAGAGGTAAACTATTAAAATAGAACCCTCATTTGATAACCTCGGCCCATTGAAGTTAAAAATTTCTATTTTTAGCATGTTAACGATGATTACATGTTTAAATGTCATGTTCGAATAACTCCATTGGAGTTGCTCAGCTCTAAGATAATTAGGTGTTTGCGTCCATAATTTTCTCAACGAATACAATATTTTTATAGAGAAAATAACCATTATGTGGATGATATTTGTCGAATTTTCCCAAGTGTTACAGGGGTTAATTTACAATCGAAAATTTTCCCACCGTACGACCTGATTTACACTCTAAATAAGTCAGGCCACTCAACAATTCTTTACACAAATGTATGGCACCATATCGGTGTATCAAGTAAACAGCAACAATTACAAGTATGCAGTGAAAAAAGAATAACACAAGCAATTTACGAGCAACGCTCAACCTTTATTGATTCACTCACGAATAATACAAGGAAAACCCTTGGTGCACACAACAAATGCTAACAATTGCAATCTAAGTCCCTCTATCTGAATAAGTCGGATTTGTGCACTCAAGGGCCTATAAATATAAGGAACAATGCAGTTTATACACTAAACTGCCAAGGGACACATGGCGGCACGCAGGCCAGCCACTTGGCTCACTAATACAACATAAAAGGGACAGTTTCTAAGTCATTGCTGGTGACAACCGCTCGCAACTGCCTTATGTAACTTCCCAAGTCAACTAGCTGCCCGGCTTGCCCAACCGGTGCGCGCGCGCCCATGGATCGACTCTGCCCGCACGCGTGCTATTTAACTCGCTTGCATTGCTCACACTTGCTATGCCTTTCTCGGCCAAGCACCTCATGCTTACCAATCCCTCGAAACCCTTCCCTTGTTGTTCTCGACCAAGCACCTCATTACTTGTCCATCTCTCGGCCACCATTTGGCACCACTTCAACTATAACTCGGTCACACTCAAGTTATAGTCGATGTCTCCGTCTAAGGGAGTAACACCAAGCCATTATAACAAATTCCTTCATTAGAAGAGTTGGTACAATTGAATAAATACTTATCCATTTGTAACATAATTTATTTATTTTTTGTTCAAAATGCTAACAATTATTTTCAAAACCCGAATTTATAACTATACTACGATAAAACTCGTTGTTAGACCAATCTATTTATTTATTTATGAATATAATTTGATAAATAATATATCATTTACACCCTTCACCTTAATTCCCTAAAAAAGTCAAGCAGATTATGGACATCCACAATTGGCAAGTATACATAAAAACGTGGTTAGCACAAAACATTTCCTCAACCGGGTCAAATGCTTAGCCATAACCAACCAATCTCCTAAAAAAAACAAAAAAAAAAAAACAGAAAAAATTAGAAAGAAAAAAAAATAAAAAATAGAAAAATAAAAAAAATAAAAAATAAAAATCAGCCTCTTTTTTTCTGCATTAATAACAAAAAAACCAGCGGTTTTAATGAGAAATTATTAATAATAATCAAAAGAAAGCAAAGCAATGGAGAAAGCGCACAATAGCTTCAACAAGAATGGCCACATTCCGACAAGCCCGAGGAATATTCCACCACCGGCGGTATCTTTTAACGACGATGCTTCCGACAACCATCTCCACCATTACACCGCCGACGAAGCGAATCGGATCTCGGAAGACGTTGACCGATTCATCTCCGTCATTTCCGCCATTGATGACAAATCTTCTTCCTCCCTGCCGGAGGTTCCCGATTTCATCAAAACCTATTCGGAGATCATAGAATCCAGAATTACCAGGTCCCGGAAGAACGTCGCCGGCGGCGACGACGACGAGTTGTTCTTCATCGAGTCCGTCCGGCGAATCTCCAGGCTGACGAATGCGCTGAGCGAGTTCTCGTCGGACGCGAGGGCGAATCCGCCGTTGAATCAGACGAGCGTCGCATTGCAGCGGGCGATGGTGTTTCTGGAGGAGGAGTTCCGATCGCTGCTCGAGGATTCCACCAGCGAGTGGGACCCGCAGAACGCGCACAACATTCAGAAATTCTCGTCGTTTAATTCCAAGAGCCAGCAGGAATACTCCGACCGGTGCGCCGCCCAGCGGGAGATCGACACCGCGCACTCCGTCGAGTACCCGGCGTACTCGCCGGAGGACGTGGACAAGATGCACGAGATCGCGACGACGATGATCTCCGCCGGGTACGAGACGGAGTGCTGCCAGGTGTACTACATCTCGCGTCGGAACGCGATCAGGAACCAGATGACGAAGCTGGAGCTCGAGGTGCTGCTCAACATGGATGACGTCGTAAAGATGCCCTGGGAGACGCTGGAGACGGAGATCGCGCGGTGGATCAACGTGGTGAAGACGTGCTCGGAGACTATTTTCCCCGGCGAGAAGAGACTGGGTGAATGGGTTTTCAACGACCACCCGGAGATCCGCCGCAGCTTGATCAGCAACATCCTCCGGGCGGTGGTGATCCAGCTCCTCGACTTCGCGGAGGCCACATCCATGGCGAAGCGGTCGGCCGACAAGCTATTCCGGTACCTCGACATGTACGACGCGCTCCAGAAGCTGATCGCGTCGATCAGCGGCGAGTCCTACTCCGACGAGCTGACCGCGGAGGTAACCGCCGCGGTCGACCGGATCGGAGAGTCTGCCGTGTGCATATTCTGCGATCTGGAGAATTCCATCAAGAGCGACGCCGCTAAGGTGCCCGTACCCGGCGGGGCCGTGCACCCGCTCACGCGGTACATGATGAACTACCTGAAATACACGTGCGAGTACAAAGACACGCTGGAAAGCATATTCGCGAAACACACGGAGCCGGATAAAAAGTACACACCACCCCCACCAACAACAACAACAACCGCTTCTCTCTCCTCCAACGATCTAGAGAGAGAAAGCGACAGCCCGCACAACTTCGAAACCGTTGCCAGCACGACGCCGTTTTCGATGCAGGTAGTTATGGTGATGGACCTCTTGGACGCAAACCTGGAGCAGAAATCGAGGCTCTACAAAGACCCATCCCTCCGGTGCGTCTTCCTAATGAACAACGGGAGATACATACTGCAGAAGGTGAAGGGGTCGCCGGAGATCCGGCAGGTGATGGGGGACATATGGTGCCGGCGGAGATCGACGGTTGTCCGGCAGTACCACAAGAACTACCAGAGAGAAACGTGGAACAGGGTGCTGCAGTGCCTGAGCCACGACGGTCTGCTCGTCAACGGGAAGGCGAACAAGCCGCTGCTGAAGGAGAGGTTCAAGATATTCACCAACACATTCGACGAGATTCACCGCACGCAGAGCGCGTGGATGGTGAGCGACGAGCAGCTTCAGTCGGAGCTAAGGATATCGGTGTCGGCCGTGGTGATTCCGGCGTACAGGTCGTTCGTCGGGAGGTTCCGGCAGTATTTGGACAGCGGGAAGCAAGCTGATAAGTATATAAAGTACCAGCCTGAGGATATTGAGACTTTGATTGAAGGCTTGTTCGAAGGCAATATTACTTCTATGGCTAGGAGGAAAACTTAATATAATAAATAATATACCGTTTTTTTTTTCTTCTTCTTTATTTCGTCTTAATTTGTTTTTCTTTTTCTTTTATTATTTTTTATTTATTTTTCAGAATTAAAACATTGAGTTTTTAATTCGAATTGTTTTAGCACTTGTGGTTATTGGAGGTTTTTTCCTTGACGTAAGTTATTACCATGATATGTCGTACTTGTGTCTTTTTTCGTGGTACATAATTTTGAATGTTTTTTTTCTATAAAACTCGAGCTTTGGTCAAGAGCCAACTAGATATTCTCTTTTTTTTTTTTCTCCTTGCGTGTTAGGGTCATGAATGCCTTTGGTTGGAGCCATCGTGGCGCTTCCCCAAGGACCGTATGCCTGCTCGGTCCCCTGCGGCTCCTCCCTTCTGCTCGGAAATATCGACAAGGAGCCGCTTTTGACTTGGCATGTCTTTTAGGCGGCACACCTTAGTGGGCTTTGGTGGCTTTCGTTCTTCGGGCCGAGCTTTGGGTAGGCCTTAGGGGGTCTCGTCCCCTGGGTTGCATCCAGTTCGGATCCATATATGTTTATGTTACATATACATGTATACGTGCATGATTATATGTAAATCAAAAAAAAAAAAAACTATTATCTATATTTGAAAGAATTCAATGTCTCTGAATTCGTATAATTTAAATACTTGTATAAAATCAGAGATCTTTAAATAAGGTAAACAAAAATTTGTATTGAGAAAGATTGTGCAGCGGAATAAAAATAACACAAGTTTTAAAATCATTATGTACAAGTATATAACTTGTGGATGGTGTCTTCACAGGCTAAAAATAGTATTCAAAAGAATACAAATGAGAAGCCAAGATCTTCTCTTCTAACCAATGTTTTGAAAACCGGACCGGACATAGAACCGGGCAACCTACTGGGTCACGGTTGGACCGGTTCAACAGGGGTCCGACCGGGTTTTTATATTTTTTTTATTTTTTAATATATAATCCTAAAATGATTATTATACAAATATTTATTCAATAATTATATTATTCATTAAATGTCAACCAAAAACTATAATTTATTAATTATTCACAATAAAATTGACACGTAAATAGAATAGAAATAAATTTTGAAACATTCATAGCATAATTTAGACATTACATATGTTAAAAATTAATGAGTATAATTATATACATTTTTGAAGTATTATAAGAAAAAACATAAACTCTCTATCAGTAAATTTTACTAATTCTATTTTATTTATATACATTTAGATAGTAATTTTATATGTATTCAGTATTAATACATAGTACCAACCCTCATTAGGAGAGTTGGTACCTAGCATTTACCACTGGGGTAACGGTCTAGGGTTCGAGTCCCCCCACCCCTATTTCCCCTTGTAAATGGACTTGAATTTACTCAAAAAAAAAAAAAAAAAAAAAGTATTAATACATAGTAATAAAACAACACTAAACAACAAAAATTACTATTTAAATTACTCCCCCAAACTCTAATATATATGTATAGTGCCCCTGCCCCATTATCTACCCAGCCCCACCGCCTCCCTCTCTCTCTCCTTCCTCGTTTTCCACCTCTATGTTCTCCACTTCCATTTTTTTCTTTTTTTTTTGCCTTCCCCAACTCCTCACCAGCGTTATCTATACTCATGTGGTTTTAATATCCTATTGAAGCATCTCTAACAAATCAAAATTCCAAGAGAAGTGTAAAGATTTTCAAGTAGTTTTTTTTTTTTTCACTCCCTTTGCATAATCCGGTTTTGGGGCCGGTTTTTACCGGTTCAACCGTGGTTTAACCGGTTCATTAGCAGCTGACCCGGTTTTTTTGCATTTGCGGGTTTTGGGGTCGACTCGGACCGGACCAGTCACCGGTTCGCGGTTGAACCGGTCGGACCGGCCGGTCCGGTCCGGTTTTGAGAACATTGCTTCTAACAAGAAATCACAGGTTGATTTCTTTGTAAACCAATTCCATGTATCTAGAACAATATTGCTTAACAGTATACTAGGAATACAAACCAGTATTCAATGAGATTGAATACAATATAGACTCAATTTTGTAATGAGAAATTTGTAAAGAATACAAGGTGTTGAAAAGATGTACCAACACCCTCAGCTATGCGCTCTTAATTTTCTTCAGAAATGGTAAGAAATGATCTTGGATCTTCTCCTATTTATAGAGTTCAGGAGCATCATGTCCTGCACGAAATCAACACACTAAAAAAGATAGCGAGTTAGTGAGTTAGTGGAATAATTAAACAAGTGATAAAACATTTATCCATAAGGCTCAAAATAATCACCACTAACTCTAAATAATAAATCCGAAAATCCTATAATAATAATTTCGGAAATAATAAAAATTGATGTAAGAAAGTTGATCCGACCAGATTTGCAGGGCCCAACAACGCAAGGCCCAACAGAGTTGGCCCACGCCAGAAGGAGGAGCCAAGATCACATGGGATCCGGACTTATTTGCCCACTTCGTCGGACTTTGATAAATGGCCCAAAACTTTGAGCCCGCAAGGGTAAGGCACACAGAATATTACACATTGTCAGTAAATGACGAGTTAGGAGACCTCCGACAAGCAGGAGACCCGAGAGCTCTCCGACGAGCTAGGAGACCTCTGACTATCTGGCGAGCACCAAGTGACTAGTACCGGGCGCCGAGTGTTGAGTGCCCAGCGAGAATTAGCTGACGAGTACCAAGCAGAGGATCGCTGACAAGTGCCGATCGGAGAGTAGCTGACGTGCCGAGCGCCGAGTGACGAGTGCCGAACGAGGAGTAGCAGACAAGTGTCGAGTGACGAGTAGCAGGTGCCACCTCATGACTTAGGCACTAAGAATAGATAGATCTTCATAGCTTAACCACTAAGACTTATAAAGTGTAATGGATATGAAATAGCACTATTAACCGAATTGGATAAAACAATGACATCCAAAATTATTGTCTGAGATAGTAATATTGAATATCTTACAGTAATGTTACTAAAATTATTGTCCCAAACAGTAATATTACTACCCCAAACAGTAATATTACTGTCCCGAACACTAATATTACTGCCCCGAACAGTAATATTATGAATATTACTTTCCCGAACAACAATATTACTAATAATATTGACTCAAACAGTAATATTATTGCATGAGACAGTAATATTACGGTCGAAGACAGCAAAGTTGCAGGCCAAGACGATAAGATTAATTAATACAGTAAAATGATTGTCCGAGGCAGTTAAATTACTGTCGGAGACAGTAATATAGTAGGCCAAGAAAGTAATATTAATTAAAATATTTTTTAAAGAAAAAACAAGTTTTTTTTTTTAAATCAACGACGGAAACCGGCGGTCAACGGCGGTTGGCCTGCAGGAAAAAAAATATTTAAGAAAAAAATCAACGGCAGCTGACTGGCAGTCTACGGCGATGGCGGTCAAAATTAGAATAACGGTCAAAATTGGTTAATTGGTAAAATTTAATTAAATTAGGATGCAAATCATGAAATTAGAGTTGAATTAGGGTTTCAAAGAGTTGGAGGTAATTTTTGTATATATGAAAGGGTTTTTCTTATTTGCAAATAAGTTTGAATGAGTTGGATTTATTTGGAATACTAAAATATTGGCCATCCCTTTTTAAATTAAGTGATCTAGCATGAGCCTATTTACCATTTACCTATAAATCTAATCACATACATGCCATAATTTTATTTTTTCCTCAGATCAATAGTAATATATTTCTGCGACGAGTAAAACATAGGGAATTCTCAAGTAATCAAATAAGATTGATGTTCTTCAAATGAATTAATTAATTAAGAAAAAATAATGAATTTTCTCTCGATTAGTTTGGAGATCTATTTCAGACAGGTCTAAAAACTCAATGCCTTAACCCGACTCGTTTTTCCATAGACAGCGTCATTTGATAGAGGTCGATTTAACTACCATCAATATTGGCTCTTCTCGAACATCTTCTTTAATTTCAATCATCGGAAAATTACTCCGTTCACCTAATATCCCCAACGCTCAAGTTAGTTTTAGGAAAAACAGTTCAAGAGATAGTAAAATAATTAGGAAAACGAATAGAGAAGACGATATAGAGATCGATATATTGAATGTGTGTTTTAGTGTGTGTAGGAATGTGTAATGTGTGTAAAAACAAAGCACCTTTTATGGTTGAGAATATGATATATTTATAAGTCATACATATTCTTGAGGCTTTATAAATCATGGGAGGTGATAAATGTCGTTTCAGTTTTCATAATGTCGTTTTGACTTCAAACGTGATCTTGACCAATTTTGAGTTTGAATTTGGCAAAATTCAGAACATGGAATTTGTAATTCTTTGAGTTAGCATTCTAATCTAATTTGAATCGCCAAGATTGGATGTCGGTTGAGAAAGTTATGCATGAATTAATGAACACTGCCCACAACTTTGATGTTTTAAATTATGTAAAATTTAAAACGTAACTCATTCATGCATAACTTTGTCACCCGACATCCAATCCAGGTGATTCATGTTGGATTAGAAAGCTATCTCAAAGGATTACGGTTTCTGTATTTTGAACTTTGCCAAATTCAAAATAGAAAATAGTCAAAATCACTTTCGAAGTTAAAACGACATTAGTAAAATTAAAATGACATTTATCATTTCAGATAAATCATGCATATTTATAAATCACAATTTTATTGGATCCAATTCACCAATAGACTCCAAGCCCAAATTTTTATACCGGTTCAATAGTTTGCCAGATTAAGCCCCATTAATGGGTATCAATATCCTCACAATTGGGCCTACTTGGTGGACAATGAGCTTATATATAACCACATGCATCACAATTTCGCTTGCACGATTGGGCCAACATGTTGCACAATGCGCACATATATAAGCAAATGTTCCCTTGATTCTTCGTTTCTCTAAGAGTCCATTTGGCTTTATAAAAAAATATTTTTAGGAGTTTATAAAGTTAGTAATTAATAAAATATTACTCTCTCCGTTCCTAAATAGGTGTCGTTTTTCACCTTGGCACAAATCTTAAGAATCTCAATAAATATGTCTTGATTATAGGAAAATAGATATTGATGGACCAAAATACCATTGTTTATTAATTAAAACAGGAAGAGTGCTATAGAGTTAATAAGGGTAAAATTGAAAAATAAGCAATTAATGCAGCATTGAAATTGTAAAGTGACAGATAATATGGAACAAAAAAAATTTTCAAAAGAGACAGGTATTATGGAACAGATGGAGTAGTAATTAATCACTTAACAATTCTCCCAAAAAAAAAAAAACAATCTCTAACACTCCCCCATAACTCCAGATCATGATGTAATTATATCCACATTCATATTTATCTTAGAGACAAAACAAGGGAGAATTTCATTTGCTTCTAAATTTAATTAAACAAAACCTATGTTTGGTTATGTTTTCATTTCATTGTTATTATTTTCTCCGAGTGAATTCGTGTTTGCTTAGTTTTAAACAATACTAATAATAAATAACAATTTCTAAAGTTTTTCTCCCCTCCAAAAATTATCCTTCCCTCTCCATGCACCCTAACCCCCCATGGCATGGAGATGCCAATGCAGCAAACCGGGAAATCATCTTCATTGTGGATTCTGAGGAAATGCAAAGTAGGCGATCCGCTACGACCCCATATTTTTACAAAAGAACAGGGTCCCAAAAGATTTTATATACACTTTATACATTATTATTTTTTTATTTATAATATATAATTTATATTGGAAACTCAATTCTAAAATGAATTTAACCATCATTTTAGTCCATTATTTTTATCAATTACTTATACTTTTTAATATATTTTTATTTTCACCATTGAATAAACAATTGGATTCACCACTAGGGGTG